GGAGGCTAACATTTTAATATTTTGCTTAGGTTTTATGCTTTGTTTGGTGAGTGAGTGAAACTCAATCATGCCTGAAATCTGCCTGCAGCATTATCAGGATTCAACTTTATTGTCATTACACATGAATGAATATAGGAAAACGAAATACCGTTTGCATCTAATCAGAAATGAAAAAGCAGTAAGTGCAATAGGAGCAGATTATATACAGATATGTGTAGGATAAAAGATGGAAATAGTTATGACAGATTATGTACATATAAGTTAAGCATATGGTGAATGTTGAGAATGAAATTATCACTGGGAAGGATAGGAGGAAGGTGGAGTGTAGAGGTTTAAGTGAGTGTGGATGGAAAGGCTCAGCGGCAGACTGAGTTCAGTAGGGTGACAGCTGTGGGGAAGAGGCTCTTCCTAATTTTACGATATAAATATATATTCTTAATGCTTATTTTATGTTTATATTGTTTTATAGAGTCCAGTGCAGGAAAACGCCCCTGTGAGTTAGAATGTAGGCCAAAAGTCACAGGGTAGACTGCACGTCTTGTGCAGAAAACAGGAAGTATAGAAAAAGCGGAACTAAGTAAACTGAGTGTGTGTGTGACGTGCAGCAGAACTACATAACCATGCTGGCTTCTAATGCTTTCAGACCTAAGCGTGTGTGTTCGTGTGACAGGTCTCCATTTCCGGAAATATACAATAGAGATCATTTTTCGAACTTGACCATTCTGAGTCGTAAGTCTTTCTTTGTCGCCAAAAGAATTCAAAAGAACAGAATTTAATAATTGGTGCGTGTTACCCGGATTCTTTTGCTGCTGAGAGGACAAATGATTCTTTTAGTCTTTCCAGACTAAAACCTGCTTTTAGTCTGGAAAGACTAAAAGCAGCATCAAGCCTTCACCTGCTGGTTTTAGTCTGAAGGCTCTTTAGCGCCTTGTGGAGGACAGGAGCTGGAAGAGTTTATTGGCAGGATGAGAGGAGTCCCTGAGAATGATGTGTGCTCAGCATAGATACCTCGTCTTGTGGACATCCTCAGTGGCAGGAAGTGGAGTCCCTGTGATGCATTGCGCAGCTTTCACCACCTGCTGCAGTGCCTTGTGGTCAGCAACAGAACAATTCCCACATCACACTGTGACACAGTTGGTCAGGATGCTCTCCATCACTCAGTGGTGGAAGTTACTCAGTATGACAGCAGACAGGTGTTTTTTCTTCAGTGTCCTCAAGAAAAAGAGGCGCTGATGGGTCTTCTTGACAAGGCTGGAGGTTGTAGTTGAACAGGACAGATTCTCAGAGATGTGGGTCCCCAAGAACTTGAAGCTGGAGACCCGGTCAACAGCTGTGCCATTTATGTATATGGGGACATGGGTGTCTGTCTCCTCTCTCCTGAAGTCCACAATGAGCTCTTTGGTTTTGCTGGTACTCAGGAACAGGTTATTGTCAGCACCACACAGCTTTAGTTCTTCACTGTAGCAGACTCACCAAGGTCTGCAGTCATAGAGGAACGGGCTCGGCACACAGCAGAGCAGTTATACCCTGACCTAACATGCTGGGGTCTGTTGGTCAGAAAGTCCATGATCCAGGTACAGGTGGAGCTGCTGATTCTAAGATCCACAAGTTTGGTGATCAGCTTGGAGGGAACAACTGTACTGAATGCTGAGCTGAAGTCAAGAAACAGCATTCTTGGATAAGTATTTTTGTTGTCCAGGTGTGAGAGTACACAGTGAAGCGCTGTGGGTACAGCATCCTCTGTACTCC